TAAAGTCCGCTTGAAGGGAGTAGCAGTAGTACACAATAATTGGTAAAATACAAACGTGAAAATAAACAGTAACGTGATTTCACCAACTCTCAGAACCACTAGTACGTTTACGTTTGAAAAGACCTGATATGTACAACTGATGAGCATGTCGCTACTCCGTGACCAATCATCACAGTCTTATTTCAAAAACAGCCTATCACGCATTATGCAAGACTAGACACACTACCAATAGCTGCTTGTGAATAAAAAACCTTGCAGTGCGTCTAAAATTTTCTATAACTGTTTTCATCAACTTTCCATTCCTCCCGAACGTTTGAATGATATTATATTAAAAACAGAGAAATACTGCCAAAAAACTGTAAATTACAGCATATAGCCTATTAAGCACCTTTTTAGAAGTGCTTTTATGGACGTAAACAAAACTATAACTTGAACAAAAACAAAAGTTAAATGAGCAGAGTTTAAACATTAAACAACAAACTGAAGAAAATTTGATAGGAGAACACAGCCAATGATCAGTGAAGAGAATTAATTCCCTTAACAACGATAAATAAATGCCCTAGAAGTGGTACGCCAAAAAAGTTTAGAAGATTGGCCTAAAAAGAAGATTATTGCGTTGTTCTTCCTTTGCAACCACAATTTCCAACTGTTCACGACTAAACTTTGCAACTGTCGCGATAACCTTCGCAAGGGTCTAAAAAGCAAAAGGCCTAATGCAAGTATCCTCAGATTATTCTTGACCATCTTTAACCCAAAACATACTAAAAGAAAGAAACTTGTGTATGAAAAAATTGAAAAGCCATCAAAATCTCCTGAAAGAATTTATTTACAAAAGCAAAGAGATAAAAATGCGTTGAGAAGAACACTTACCACACTTTCTTTACCCAAAGTTTCACGCTCACTCATATAGCGATATAAAACATAACGAAGATACTAAAAAAAACTTTGCTGTTAAATGAGAATAAAACAATATTGTAAGAGAAATAAAAATACAAATAAAAATACTAATGAAAGTCACTACCTCTGCCTCTGCAGGATCAGCAAAATTTGGACTGAGATCACTTGAATATTTACCAGCTTTCCTCTAAAAATGCATTTTAGTTTTGAAATTAACCAGTTTTGGACGGCATAATAGGTATTTCACTTTAACACCTAAGTCTGTTAAAAATAAATATGATTACAGCATTATCATCCAAGCTCAATGACAGTGTGTCATTAACATCGTCATTATTGACGAAATATGGAGTGTGTCGACCACGTCCTTCATTTTGCTCGGTCACCACTTCCAGTTTGGGAGGTGAAGAGCTGAAATATTAATCCGGTTAAAAAATTCACTAAGAATCAAGGCATCTAAGAAAAAAATACAAATCAAAAACTACTGCTATTTCAAACAAACAAACCTGTAAAAGTGCTCTCTCTCCCTCTCTCTCTCTCTCAAAAAAAAATGAAAAATAAACAAACTAAAAGTCAAAACAACTTTTGCTGCGTTTTCAGAATGGTGATCTCCTTCTGCAACTGCACAACCTGGTTCCTCAAAGACTGTAATTCTTCATAGTCCTAAAATAACCTGACAATTTGGTTTGTAGACATGGCATATAAACACATGTCCTTTTAAACGTTAAGCTAGAACTCTTAGTTTAATCAAGAAAATCAAGAACTACCATATGTAGGTCTTCATCATTATAACCACATATTTCCGTATCACTCTGCCCAATGAATTCACTAGACAAATCAGCAGTTTTTGCAGAGGATAGTTTTGCTGTCAGTTCCTGCAAAGCAAACAGTGCGTAATTTTCTGCCAAAAATCTTGCAATTTAAGGCAAATAAATGCAAAAACAGGTAGCTATGAATGAAAAATGTCACATACAGCAATTGTAGTATTAGCCTCATCTAACTTTTTTGACCGGTCATTCAAATCTTCATATAACCGCTTAATTTCTTTTTGCACCTCTTTAACAACACGCTGCCTATCGTTATCAGCTTTAGCTGAAAGCAAAAAATAACTATTATGTAAAACACAATCCCCCCAAAGATAATAACAGTTGTGGTTTTCCATACCAGCAGAAGTTTTCGAATCGTTTCTTAGTTGCTCCAAATGATTTTCCAAATCTTTCGTACCTTGCTCAAGCTCTTCTTTTTTTTTAACCAGATGGTTTTTCTCATCCTTTAAAACTTTAACTTCTTCTGAAAATGTCATTCGATTAATGTTTAGCATTAAACGCATGAGTTAACTAAGTTTAGATACAACTACTTATTTAACTGAAAAGGCTCCCAACCTTCCGAAGATGCTAGATTCTTTTGTAGTTCAGCAACCTCTGTTAACTTAGAATCCAACAGAGTAGACTTCTCTGCGCTGACCACGCGAAGTTCACGGAGTTCATGTTCAACAGCTTTAATTTTCTGGAAATACAAAAATTGACTTTCAGGCATAAAAGTTAACAGCCTTACCCGGAATAAAACGGAGAATACCAAGAAGCAAACTAAGTGGCTAACATCTGTCAGAGAATCCTTCTCGTTTTTGAAACTTTCAAGCTCCCTTCTAAGTTCACTATTTGCAGTCTGATTTGACTTATCCCTCTCAGCTAAGTCCTTCTCACACGAAGCCAGCGCGTCACGAAGTGATTCACATTCATTAATCTTTTCAGCCATTGTCCCGCGTAAGACTGCCATCTGCAAAAAATTAAAGAGCAATTTTCAAAAGCGTCAACTTGGAAACAACCAAAAACCACTCTAATACTTTAAAATAACTGGTTTTATGCGCTCAATTATTTGACGATACCTCCTTAGCAAAATCATCTTTTAGGTTAACGACTTCCGCCTCCTTCTGACGTATTAGTTCCACGATTCTAGACTCTGCAGATCTCTTCTCTTCATCCAGCATCTGGAAAAAACTAAGTTGCAAAAGACAAATAAATAAAATTTACATGACGCAAAAAGCGGAAATGTAACCTCCGACAATTTTTTTTCAGCCTTCTGACCTTGATCTTTCAAGTCAGCCAAATCTGCCTCCAAACCTTCGTTTCTCGTTTGCAATTTTTTAAACAGTTCTAAGCGTTTTTCAGCAGCTGTTAAACGAATTTCGCATTCGTTTAATATAGTTTCGTGATGGTCCCTGAACATTTGCAGTTGTTTCTTTCTGTAGTAGATTGGAAAAAGGTAAGAAAAATAATGACCTCATCTCTGTTTCTTTCTCGGTGAAATCATTAATAAGCTTCTCGGTCGCTTTTATTCGTTCTTCCAGAACCTGTTTCGTATGATTTGCAGAAGCAAGCTCCTGTTGTAAAAGAGTACACTTTTTTTGCGCTGTTTGTACTTCAGCTTGTAAAACTTCTACTTGTTTCTGAAAACAATTAGGTTCAAAACAGTCAAAAAGAAGCTTCGAAAACACAAAAGATACGAAAGGAACCATCAAATCGGTAGATGACACTTCTAAGCTTTGCATCTCGAAATTTTTTTCTTGTTCAGTTTTGGTCATTTTCTGTATTCTTTCTTGCAGTTCTTCAATAACTGCCTCCTGAATTAAAAAAGATGTACAATATTATCAGCATATAATTTCAAACTCTTTCAAATAAGTCTTCCTTACTTTTTGAAGAGCACTTTCTTTCAGTGTTTTAAGCGCTTCCTCAAGTTCTAAAAATTTAAGTGATTTCTCCTTCAGGAACGCTAATTGAGAACTAAGGCTGCTACCACTTTGAACTTTAGCCACTAGATTGCGTACTCGACATTCCTAAACAATTTGAAGGTTGATAAGAGAGTAAACTGCTGAAGCTACAGTTAAATTTCGTAAGAACAAAAAAATAACCTGGCTCTCTAAAAAGTCCATTTTTTCCATAACAACAGAGGATAAAGCGGTAAACTTTTCAAAAAACGCATCAGCAAAAGTTTTTACTGCTAACTCTTCCCTCGAGAAACTGAAATTATACAAACCGTCACGCTTCCCTACCGAAATTTCAGAAACAAATAGGGAGTATAACTAACTTATCACGAAGATGATTAGCCTTCTCAAGATCACGTTTATTCAAAGCAATTTCATGTTGTAATGACTTAACAGTCTGTAATTCAGTTGCTAACTTTGACTGTAACTCCTCATTCTTCAAGCGCGTCTCCTAAGAAATTAATGTATAAGTAAAAAACGGTACTGATATGCTGATATGACTGTTATGACTCATCACATTTTAGAAGGCCGGAAAAAGGCCAATAAAGTTAATACAAAGAGAAAAGCCAAAACACACACCTCTGCAATAACTCCAAGGTTGTTCTTCTGCGCAAGAGTTGCTGATATTTCATTCGCTCTATCAGATAAAGCAGTTTTGAGCTCATTAATTTTCATCGTTAGCTCTTTCTGACAAAATTAATCGTTTTCAATTAGATTTTTAAATTATGGCTGGAAGAGTGATTTTAACAATCCTGGATTTCGTCAAAAAACAACAAATTACTCTGTTCAAACCTCACAATTTCCAAAAAAATTTCAGCCTGAAAGAATCAGCAAATATTGTTTTCACGGACTAGACGATTACCTCCAAGGTTCTGAAGTCGTTTTCTTTAGCTGCCAAGCTTTCCTTTAAAAAGTTCGTTTGGTCATTAGCAAATTTCAATTGTTGTTTCAACTCTTCAACTTCTTTTTCCTTAACATCCAAATCTTCTGTCAAACTCGAATGAAGTTCTTCATTTCGCTCTACTTCGCTTCTGTGCTTCTGTAATTCTCCCAACGCATTTTCTAATTCATTCTTCTTAGACTCCAACTCGGCAACGACAGGCAAAAGCTAATGCAAAGAACATTCATCAGAACATAACTACCGTTTGTTGCAAATTACCTTTTACGCTACGTTTAGGAAAACAAAATTTTAAAAGCGAAACACAATCTAATGTGTTAAAAAACTGCGGTAACTGCTGGTTCTCAAAAGGTCCGAAATAATAAAGAAATTGATATTTAGAACCCCACCTGTAATTCAAGGTCACTTTTTTCTCTGCTGACTTTTTCATTCTCTTCCGATAAATTCTTCAACTCTTCTTTCAATCCAAGAACTTTCTCTTCCAATGCATTCTTATGCGCCAACTCATTATCTAATTTTGTAGAGAGATCAGACAGCTTTTTCTTCAATATTTCTACAGAGTTCCTCTCAAATTCCTAAAAAGTGCTTTGATATAAAAAGTGAAATCTTTTTGGCGCAGCACCAATGATCCTTATTTTTTAATAAAGATCAATTCATCTACAGAATATCAAATTGCTGACCTCGCCTTCACGGCCCAAACTAAAGAAATCTTTCTTCTTTTCTGTTACTTGATTAGGAGTGGACTCCTGTACCTGCTCATCAATTCGAATTAACTCTTCTTCATTTTCTGAAAAAATGAATGTTTTTAGTAATTCAAGTTAAAAAAATTCCCTATCCCTTCGCTTTATCCCCAAAAGACGTTTTAAAAACTAGTTGATACAAGAAAATCTTCCGCAAACAATTTAATACGGTTAGAACAAAAATAAAAAAAAAACTATTAATTTTTTACTCACCCTCTAGACTATAAGGTTCTCCACATGTCAGTAACACTCGACCTTCTCCGCTGTCTCTTCCAACTTTTGTAGCACTTGACTGCTCCTGTAAATACAAACGAAGTAGGCTGAATGACTAGAAAATAAAGAGCCCTCACAAAAAAACCCCATTCATAGCTGTTCACTAGACCATAAATTCAGTGACCGGCAATTCACATTAATTACAAGGCTAAATCTAAACATTTAAAAGCTTTTCACTTACAAATACATTTGAAAGACATGTTAATAAACTACAAAAAAACTTAAAGCTGCCGTTCTTCCTATTCAAGTCTGCCAATTAAACAGAACCCTATAAGTAACTCGAGACTCTAAAACAGGTGGTAAATGATAAAGTTAATACTTGCTAATAGAATAAGTTTTGAAAAATTATTTGAAACGCTTCCTCGTGTAAAAATTCAAGAAAATTTAAAGCTTAATTTTAAAACATAAAATACTTTGAAAGAAGTTAAATACAGAAACTAACATAAATGTCTCGTGTCTTTTGCGAATCTTCTTCAGAATAAAGCTTCGCAGAAATTAATTCTTTTTCTGACTCCAACTGATGTATGAAGGCGGATTTCTCCTGGAGAATTTCTTTCAGTTGATTTATTTCCTTCTCCATAGCTTGTCTCTGCTCATTAAAGCTAGAAAGCAAAGAAGATATTGTAGGTAATACCAATATAGACAAGTGAAATTACCATTTCATTTGAATAAAACAAATTAGAAATCGATTTGCATTCCAGCAAAATTAAAAAAAATCATCACTGCTTGGCACTAGAAAACTCACTTTACAGTCACTTCATCCAGCTGCTGACGAAGTGTGCTTATTTCTTCATCATCGGAAACTTGTTCTCGTTTGAGATCCTCAAGAAGAGCTTCACTTTTTTTGTACCGGCCTAGTAAATTGTCCCTTGCTTTACTCACTTCTAACAACTCTTTCTTTACCTTCACCAACTCTTCATCATAATGCTTCTAAAGAAATGATATAAGATAATTTAGAAACGCGTGAATGAAAAGGCATAAAAAGAAGTAAGAAATATGTAAGGTTAAAACAATGAGCACTCCACTTTATTAATTGACAACAACATACAGCGGCTTTTTCTGCTGTTTTTTTCTCATCCGAAAGTTCTGTAACAACTGCTTGATGAACTTTCTCTAGTTCCAATCTGTTTTTTTCATAGTTTTTCTGAGCGTTAGACAATTCCTCTTTGAGACCATCTCTTGCAGCTTTCACATCTTCTAGGTCCTAAAGAAAGTCTTACAAACCAAGATAATATGACTTCACAAAATCTATACGAGAAAAACCAGCAATATAAGAATAGAATATTGATATACTTTTTTGACCCCTCCTATCAACTCGTCGTGTTCTTTAATGAGGTTAGCTATTTCCACTTTATGGTCTTCAGAATTCTTACTCATTCGCTCGTTTAACTCATGTAGTTCCTGTTCATACTTTTCTTTTGAACTATCTAACTTCAGTGACAGTTGCAACTTTTCCTAAATCAAGGAAACTTCAGAACAATACTGTTTTTTTTAGCCATGGACTTTCTTCTTAAATGAAAAATAGCAATAATGAAAATACCGCAGTTAACTGCTGTACTGCACTATGCAATTCTTCAATCTTCTTCTCCTGCTCTGCTGCAGCTGCAGCACTTTGCATTTCTCGTTCCTCGACAGCGAGCTGCATCTGTTCCTCATGCTCTTTAAACTTTCTCCGCCACTCAACTTCCTGAAAATAAAGTGCAATATTTCGAAATCAATTAACTCCTAAAGAAGCAACACTGTTGCTAACCAATTTCTTCATTTCTTCGCTTAACTGTTTTTGACATCGAGCGCGAAATTCTTCTTCCCGTTTATCCAAAGCTGCTTCCAAATTCTTCCTTTTACGCTCCTCTTCATCTCTTATGGCAAGTACCCCCTGCTGTTTTGCTTGAGACAGTTTCTCCACCATGTCAGCTTTCTCAGCTTCCAAAGCCAAAATTGTCGATTGCAACTCATTATTCTGTTGCTGGGCCTTGATTCCTGTCGCAGAGTAGTATAATCATAAATTAAAATTTCCACTATTTTCTTCGTCTATTTATTTATTTACTACCGCGTAAAAGACAAAAAAAAAGTATCAAACAAAACGCTACTTTTGCAACCCCATTCATCTCATTCTATAAACGAACCTTCAGATTCGAGCTGCCTATAATTCGCCCGAATGGCTTGCACTTCACCCTCCTTCTCTTCAAGAGTTGCGTGCATTTCTGCTTTCACCTTGGCTACGAGTAAAGTGGCTCTGAAAAATAGTGACTAGCTGACTTCGGACAAAATACGACAAAAAATGATCTTATATGCACGGAAACCTACTCGTCTTTCGCTTCTTCCAACTTTTTGGAACATTCTGCTTCAACTGCTTCAATTTTTCCCTTCCACTCTGCATTGATACGCTGCATCGCTAACTCACTAATCCCCTGCTAAAAACAACCGTTATGCTGTAATTCGTAAAAATAATTTTGATAATAAGAGAATTTAAAAACTTGTCGCAACCAATTATAAACATACTTCATCAGATGCTCCTTTGACGGTCTCTTTTAACTTCTTATTCTCCTCAGTTAATTGGATGTTTTTTTCTTTATATTCACCAATGCTCATTTTACACTTCTCCAACAGTTCTTCTAGTTTCTTCATTTTAGCCAAGTCTACTGGAAGAGCAGCTTCTCCAGAATTCTCTCGCTAAAACGTACAAGTAATACTTAGACTCTACTGAGTAAAATACCACCGAAAACAGTAAATTTCATGAAAAAAAACAAAAATTAATAACTTAATAATTCTCATGAAGCAGAACTACTTCTTTCTGAAGCTGTTTCTCCAGTTTTTCCAACTTTTCTAATAAACCATTTTTTTCACTCCTCATTTGGTTTAGTCGTTTAATCGCCTTGTCTTGAGTAGAAGTTAGCGTGGACTAAAAAATTCATAAACACTTCTTGAATAAAAGCAAAAAATTGACTACTCATAATAACACCCCAGAACGCAGTAAATTTCGCCGTCCTCTGATTCATTCAGAACGAAATAAAATTTGAGAAACCTTGTATTTCTCATTTTCGCGAACAAGTTCATTGTACACTTTTACTAGATCTCGATATTTATCTTTGTAAGTAGCTGCTCGTCCTTGCAACTTGTGAAGCACGGAAGAAATCTAAAAATAAATGAAATTTAACAGCCTCGGAAATTCTTCGTGCAAGTAAATCAAGGAAAATACTGGGTAATTAAAAAACCTGTTCTTTAGACGCATTCTGATATACTGCTGAGCCTGCGATGCTTTCACCTTCTACATCAGACGACAAAAGCTCTAGACGCCGGCTTGAACTGACCATGCCAGGAATAGTAGAAAACAAGTCGCTCAGCGTGCTAAATTTAGAAAAAAAATAATTTTTACATGTGACACTCTTCTTGAAGTGCTCCTCTCATTAAACAAAAACCTTTCGTTGCTTCCAATTGAGTCAGTCGAATTATGCCGACGTCTTGAACCAAATTCCGCATTCCCAGTGTCCTCGAGTGAATCAATTTCCGACTGCAAAACTCAACAGAAATGACTACTGAGTAGCTGCAAAGAAACCAGTAACCTCCCTTCACTGGTCCTCACAAAAAAAAAAAATAAAATAAAATAAAATAAAATAAAATAAAATAAAATAAGAAAAATAAAACTAAATTCACTGAGATCCTCTAACACCCAAAAAATTATATTTATTTAACAAAGCTGCATTAAATGGGTAAGTCACTAAAAAGAAAAACGCTTTTGTTTCAAGAATTTCAGTTTCCCAATGACAAATTATTACAGAGGAAGAAATTACTAAACCATTATGCACCTTGACACGAATGTTTTCATCGCTATTCTTCAAACTAATACTGGAATCGGAAACCGTAGGTGAAAAAAATCGCTTGGCATGCCCACTGATTTCACTCCCGGCGTCACTCTGTAAAAGTATGCATCAGTGTAGTACAAAGCAAAAAATCATAGTCTTTGTCAACTAGATTCCCTACCGCGCTAGACTTGACTTGCTGAGCTAAGTTTTCGCTGTAATGTGAAACAGTTGCTTGCAACCACTTTGCTTCATCTCCAAGTTTCGACTTCAAACCTTTAAACATCGATCTCTACCTGAAGAAGAGACAATGCCAGATAATGATAAACCTGAAAAAATTTCTGCGGCTACTAAAAATTTCATGGTGTTGGTACCGCCACTCAAAAACGACACCCAATACAGTCAATTAACATTTATATGCAGCCGTTATTGGTCAACGAATCATGTTGAAAAACTGGGACATAGACGGTAATATCTGCTGTCCTAAACCTTTTTAAAAACAGTGAATACCAATGTTGACATAAAACTCGCCAAAACGCGCATACAATTACAAAAAAAGTCGTTTTTATCTGTTTACTTGGTTAAAACTAAATACAAGAGCGGTCACAAGAAACCTAGTCAACAAAGCTGTTAGCAACAAAGCACCTATTAAACTAATCCACAAAAATTGACTGTATCAAAATTTTAAACCAAAATGTCTTAAAAACGTTCAACCACAAAAAATTTTATGACCAGAAAATATTGATCAAGCACAGTCTCTAATTTTTAACTTGAGTGACACATCATTGAACTCTTACAGTGATAAATGCTGATAAGTTATGAAATAAATCCACTAGATTAACGGACAGATTTTTATAATAAGTTTCCTATAAAATCTTCTTTCTCTTCCTTCCGCTTGAGCGCCCCTCGTCGGTGCTCAGTGTATAATTACCAATAACGTCTAACGTTTGTTTAGCAAGATCACACATTTCAAGAAAGTTGTCGATTGACTTTTGTAAATATCTTCTGTCAGGACTTGTAAACTTCCTAAATACACTCTGTACGCGAGTGAATAAGAAAAATTAAAGACAAAGGTAGCGAGCGCATAACCAGGACACTAACAGCACCAACTTCAGATGCTTAAGACAACAAAGGACTTTACAAAAAAATCCAACTTTTCCCAAGGTACACTAAAAAATACAAACGAAATATTAAATTAAAAGTAGCAAGTTAGTATCACCAATACATTAAGAACACGTACGCAACTAAAAATTTCCCTTCCGTAATAAGCGTTCGCTGTGCCTTACTTCTTGCCGGTTCCTTATCAACAGACAAAGTACGACAAATCATATCTGACGCGGATTCATTTTCCAAATCAATGCGCAGAACCCTAGAAACAGTACGACAAATCAAGATTGAAAAGCATCGTTTTTAACGACTCTAAATGGCCAAAACATAGCCCTTAAACAACTTTGTTGCTTTAAAGTCATCCAAAACCATACAAAAAACAACACTCCAACGCCATCACAACTTCTTCTACAAGTGTAGATTTAAAACTGCAGAAGCAAAATAAAAAAGAATTACTGATGACGAAGAAAGTTAGCGCGTCAGCAAGCTACTTACGCAGTATGATCCAAACCCCCTGCCAGATGAAAACCACTGCTTTTCCCTTCAGTAACTTCTTCCTCTTCATCCTCTTCAGCATCACTAAACCTAACTTCTGCTGGGTGTTCTTCAGAAGGCTAAATACAAAAAAATAGCTTCGTTTTCGACGTAAAGGTGTGATAAACACATACCTCAGAGATTAAAACTGATTTTGAACTGTCCACTTCCATCGTATGGCAAAACGGAGAACCATATGTTAGTTAATAAGAAAACCACCTATACAAACATCTGTAGCGTAAACATTCAATTACAGTACCAAATCAACAGGTTTTTTTTCATAATTACATTTTGCACTCATTGATACCATCTGAGAAAAAATAAATAAGTAAACAAAAACAGAAAGAAGATAAGTCATATACTCCACTCCTCCCCAGTAAAAGAAAAAAGACACAAATGGAATGTTTTGTTTCGTCCTCCAACGCATTTCTGAGGTAAATTACAAAAGCGAGTCACTGCTCTTCAAATAGCTACTTTGAAAGAGAACACTTATAGTTAATTTCTATAAAACCCCAACATAAAGATCAGTGAAAGGACAAGAATGCAACTCGATGAACCGCAAAAAAGTTGCATAAAATCAAAAATATCACTCAGCATTTACGAGAAGCTGATTATCATCCTAACATTAGGGTACAGAGAGGAAAGAACGAACAGGCAAAGCAATAAAACATCAAATAACAACAAAAAAAGGTTAAAATATGCGCAGTTTAGCAGCAAAACGGTATACAACGCGAAAGCAAAGTCACAAGAAAAAAAAAAGCAGGAAGTTGGCGACAATTATACACAATATAAACATGAAATCAAGAATCCCAAAAACCAGAAAAAAAAACAGTTATGGGCACATTGAAGTAACAGGCTCTTGTTAAAAAAAACAAACGTAAAATTCACCACAATGAATAAACCGAGTCAAAAACCATTAAACAAAATGATTAGCAAAAAGGTTATGCTTCCTTCTCAAACTCTCGACGGCTTTAACGGCAGCAGCAGCAACTACGAAAGTCTTGCTTGCAAAAGCAGGTAAATAATCAGGTATA